TCCACCTGTGCACTTTGCACGCCATCTAAATACCTTATAATCTGACAATAAATATTATATCACTATGAATCATTCTACATTCTACAAACATGCATAGCTAAATTAAATATATAGTATCAAAACAAAAATAAAAAATACATATTCAATTTGCCAAAAGAAAAAGAAATAATTCAACAATACAGGTCGCACCATGATATGTTTGAAAAAATGTATAGCTAAACGCACACTACATAAGCAGAGTACCTAACTGAAATATAAATAGTCTGAGCCACTACATCAAAAATCGAGTGCCTTTAATTAGAGAAAAACATATTTTTTTTCTAAATATGCTCAAATAATCCAAACAAGCTAAATGATCTTCTATAAGTTTTGATTAATATTCCACCTTTATAAGTTTCTCAAACGCGGCCTACGATTCATGCCCGCGTGAATGCGTAGGCTACCTTCCTTGTTCAATTTAATTCCAGAAATCCACTTAAATGGCTCAAAACATCTAAAATTCATAACTAATTCATACAAACACCATATTGGGCCATTCAACTTGCAAAATTCATCTAAAATTAAGCTCTACATGTTTGTTTACTTTTCATCTATTGTTTATTTGGTTTTTATTAGAGTTTTTTCTCGTTTTGCATGCCAGTGTGTGCATCCCGTCGTTTCGGAAGATCGCGTTCGCGAGGAAAATAGTTCAAAAGATCGTTTAAAGAAGCAAGGCAATTCACTCATTCCCGTTGAGCATGTTAACCTAATTTATCAAATGTTCTATCATTTGCAAATAAATTGCATCTTTGTCTAATTACATGGGATTATGGGACTATATATCGGCTTGCTTTCGCCTTGTTTATTTGTGGTCCATCCTTTCTTGAACTTGGGCAATAATTTGACTAGCTTGTGTCACTTATGTTAATCTTGCTAGAATTATGATATGCTTTTCATTCTTAATTACCACTAGCTCAAAATATGGGATAATCGCATTATATACATTGAGTATATTGATGAGCTACGAGCTCGAGACACTTGGCCATGTTTTATTGGTCATAATTATCCAACTAAAATATGGTTAATGGGGGGTTGTGGGTGTATGATTTTACTAGTCGCAACCATGGCAATTAAGGACCAGTTCACGGGAAACCCTGGATGACTTATAGTGCTCACCACAAGCAAAAATGGACAACTGCTGTACTTGTAGTGTAACTCTTCCCTTTTTGATGTAATGAGGCAAGTGTGAGCATGATGGAGTTTGGATAGGCCCTGCGACGGCATATGCGGCTTCCGGATTCACCTAGACACGAGATGGGGGGGTGCGCTTGTTTAGGGGGAGTTATGCAAAGAGTCTTGTCACAATCACTCGCATGGTGATATGTCTACGTGGACACTGTGACATGACGGTGAATTGTGGCTTGTGGGTACAGTTGTGCACCTTTGGCGAGAGTAAAACTATTCGAATAGTTGTGCCCATGGTTATGGACGATCGATCAGCTTCACCGTGATTAGTCCCACTCCATTAATTAACTTGACTTAATGAAATGGTGTAGTTCAGGTGAATGGTTGGGCTTGTTCAACGTGGTGTAGCGTTGTTCAGTGAATATTTAATGTTGTCTTAATTAATTAACTGTTTTACTCAACTATAAATTGTTTACAACCGCCTTTATGTAAATAGCCACAAACCTCCCTTGTATCCCCCTTACACGATTGCATCGTTGGTGTGGCTTGCTGAGTATGGTGGTTGTACCCAGTCTTATTATTATTCGCCCTTTTCAGAAGTGTAGTGGTTCTGAGTCGAAGATGGTGTTAGAGGACCGAGATTTATACCCCACTTGAGTTTTTGTGTGTGGTGTGGAGTTGAAACTATAGATGGCCAAAAGGCCCGAGGCCCGACGGCCCGGCCCACAGCACGGCGTTTTGGCCCGGCCCAAGCACGGCACGGCCTGTCAAGGGTCGGGACCGTGCCACCCGGGCCGCGCCTGGGCCTCTCCACCGACACGTTGGGCCGGCCCGGCACGGCACGATGGGCCGCAGGCTAGGCCCGACACAAACACTAGCGAGTAAAAATAGACATATTATATGCCATGGTCGAAAGAATAGGGACGTAAAATAGTCTTATTATAGCTATATATATGTCAGCCCAAAGAGGAGGGACGGAAAATAGACTTATTTTCACTGTATATATGTCAGAACCCAAAGTGGAGAGACGGAAAATAGACTTATTTTCGCTATATATATGTTACAACCCAAAGAGGAGGGACGGAAAATAGACTTATTTAAAAAAAGGCATGATGGGCCACCTGCGCCTTCGGGCCGGCCTGGCACGGCCCGACGGCTGGTGGGCCGTGCCTGGGCAGGAGGCGCAGCCCATGGGCCGGTACGGCCCGGCACGAAGTGCCGATCGGGTCGTGCCGGGCCGTGCCGACCCGATGGTTGGTGGGCCGTGCCTGGGCCGGGCCGTGCCAGGCGGGCCTTTTGGCCATCTATAGCTGAAACCCAGCTAAGATCATCTTTTTCCTTTGCTACTTCTCTCTTTTTGTGTGAGAATTTATCAGCCGTCCGACGCATAGTAGCGTCCCTAAAATTAATATCACGTACAATATCATAAGCGCTCTAGTTTCAACCTTTTGCTTGCTCACACCTTGTGTCCAAGCGATATATTTGTGAGAAGGTAACTCCTTTTTTTTATCATTTTGTTTGCTATTATCTGCATCAGCAAAATGATTAGATGATATTGACAAGTACACATGCATGGTGCCTTATTATTGATAAGCATTGCACATGTCGTAATGACGGTTACATCATAAATCGCAGTCAGAAAACTAACATATTTTGAAGTGCTTCATAAAAAAACCAGTTATTTAATTTGATCAATATATGAAAGAACTCATGAACATTTCTAAAAGAAAAGGAAAACGTGAAGGAACTCCAATCCAATCACACGGGGATAGCAACAAGACTTCGATTAAAGGTGGAACATCGAAAGCGCAATGCAATACCCATCCATCATATATAGGGTCGAATGACGAGAAACCGGAAAAATACAAAACTTGTGAATACATTAATTAGAAAACAACATGTAAAATGTGAACTTTCTGCGTACATTGAACCAAAAACTAAACACTTGCTTGCCGATGAAAAGTTGAACACAAAGACTGTGTGTTTAGTTCACGCTAAAGTGTCTAGTTCACGCTAAAATTGGAAGTTTGGTTGAAATTGGAATAATGTGGTGGAAAAGTTGGAAATTTATGTGTGTAGGAAAGTTTTAATGTGATGGAAAAGTTAAAAGTTTAAAGAAAAAGTTTGTAACTAAACCAGGGCTAACTATTCAACCGAATTATTTGCCTGTTAGGTTTCAAAAAAAATTATCTGCCTGTACGTTTTCTGGCACCGGTTTTCAAAGTAACGAAAACCAGTCATTTTGCAGACGAACCGTAAGCTCCGATAAATATAGAAAGATGCTTCTACTATACAAAATAGATATATCGCTCTGGTTCTTCTATTAGGGGCTCTTTGAATCACATGAATGAAAAAACGGAGAAATAGAAAAAACATAGGTTTTTGACAGGAATGTAAGTGTAAAACAGATGATTGCAAAACACAGGAAAAACATAGGAATGACCGTTTGATTGGACCACAGGAAAAACACAGGAATTTAAGAAGAGATAAAGACTCAAAGGATTTCTTCCATGAGGTTCTACCTCTTGTTAAAATTTCTCCAAAACTTGTATGGGAAGGGACATTCCATAGGATTCATTCCTTTGATTCAAAGGGCTTTGTAGGAAAAATTCCTATAGAAATAAAATCCTCTAAAATTTCCTTACAGTTTTTCTTTTTTTTTAGAAATATTACAGTTTTTCTTAAAAGAAAGTTTCAGCCCACAACTTTTAAGAAAAGAGAAGTCTGACTTTGGGAGCTCCGATTTTATTTCCCTTCCCCCTCGAAACTACAGTATCAGGTAGTAGTAGAAAACACAGGATAGTACAAAATACAACCAAACAGCAAAGTTGTCCGGTTATTTCAAACCCCGGACAAACACGACAACATGTAAGCACGGAACAAACACAAAACCTGACGAAGCACGGACCAGATCCGACGCAGCAAGCAACCAAGCAAAGCACGGTGTGTGTACTTCCAAGTTCCAAGCGGCCACCAGCGAGAGTGCGACGCGCCTTGACTAGCATGCATCCACGCGCCCACACGGATTAGGGCCTGTTTAGATCGTGAAAAAAAAATTTTTAGATGTCACATCTAATGTTTGATCGGATGTTGGAAAAAGTTTTTAGACACGGATAAAAAAGCCTAATTTCATAACTCGTCTGGAAACCACGAGACGAATCTTTTAAACCTAATTAATATGTCATTAGCACATATAGGTTACTATAGAACTTATGACTAATCATGGATTTTTAGATTTAAAATATTCTTCTCACGATTTCTACACAAACTATATAATTAATTTTATTTAATACTCAATACATATATTAAAGATTTGGTGTGATGCTTTTTGGAAAAAAATTTGGATACTAAAACGTGCCTTACTCAGTCGTCGTGCCCTCACCACTCACCACCACGTCGTCTCCCGGCGACTCAACCCAACACCGCGTCCGAGTGTGTGCGACAGTGCGAGCCTCCCCAACCCCCACGCCACACGGCACTTGAGCCGCAAAATTTCGCCGGATTTTTCCACCAAAACGGCCAAACTCTCCGCGCCACGCCCGCCCCCGCCAACGCCACGTACGTCCCAGGCCCCCACCAATCACCGCAGCTAGAACTCCCTCCGTCCCGTTTTTAGCGCACTCATCTTTTTTTTTTTCAACGCTTAACTGTTCATTTTATTTAAAAAAATTATAAAAATATTAAAAAAATTAAGTCACATACAAAATATCTTTCGTGTTTTATTATCTAATAACATAGAAATATTAATTATAAAAATATTTAAATAATAAGAACAGTTAAATGTTAAAAATATCAACAACTGTATTTAAAATGGGACGAATAGAGTAAATGCCACCGGGCTAACTCCCCTCCCCTCCCCTCCCCCACCTCCGCCTTCCAAAACCGCGAAACTCCTCTCCTCGCCACGCGCGCGCGCCAACGCCACCACCACCCGTCACCGCTCACCGCTCGCCCGCGCCGTCACGCGCACGGCCACGCCGCGCGCGCCCGAGAGCTCTTTGAGTCGCGATGCGGCCTCCGGCGCGCTCGCCGCCTCGCCTGGCCGCGGCGGCGGCGGCGCTGGCGACGTCCGCGGCGCTGCTCCTCATCTGCGGGACCTGGCCGGCTTCGGCTTCGGGCTTCGGCGCCTACACGGCCTCCTCGTCCGCGCGCCGCGCGTCGTCCACGGGCGGCGCCGACGCGCCGCCGCCGTCGTTCGCGTACCTGATATCCGGCACGGGCGGGGAGGCGGCGAGGGTGGTGCGGCTGCTGAGGGCGGTGTACCACCCGCGGAACCGCTACCTGCTCCACCTCGACGCCGCCGCGGGGGCCGAGGAGCGCGCCGAGCTCGCGGCCGCCGTGCGCGGGGTGAGGGCGTGGCGGGAGCGCGCCAACGTCGACGTCGTCGGCGAGGGCTACGCCGTGGACCGCGCGGGGCCGTCCGCGCTCGCCGCCGCGCTCCACGGCGCCGCCGTGCTGCTCAGGGTCGCCGCCGACTGGGACTGGTTCGTCACGCTCAGCTCCTCCGATTACCCTCTCGTCACGCAGGATGGTAATAACTAATCCAAAACCAACTAGTACTACTTTTTCTCAGTTACTTTGATTTCTTGCCATGTTAGATTTCATCAAGAGTTCTTGGAGTGCATACTCTGCCTCAGTTAGATTCTTTCAGATTATTCTTGGTGTTCGTGATTGGTAAAGGGATGGTATCTAATCGGTTGCTGATAACGAAATTTGGGAATCGCATCATGAAAACTCCAGCTGATTATCCCCTGATGGTATAGTAATAGGTTGCAAGAAAAGCGATGCGCTAATCGTCCTGATTGGGATGTGATTCCTTGCTTACCTATCAAGGCTCATATATGCTCACGGTCACGGATATCTACCCTTGCAATTCACGAATTGATAGATAGAACAGTGTCCTTATCATAGAGACTGTCGTTAAACAGATTATTAATTACTTGCTGCCTGATCAATTCGATGTGGGAAGCTGACTAGCTGATGCCTCACCCCCATCTTGATAATGATATAAAGACTTTTGTTGGTAGTTGTTTGTTGGGATGTCAAGCTAATGGTGGTCGTGAGATCATACGTTTTTAATTCCGAAACCTTGAAAACCGTCATGTACTAGTACTAATTGTACCCTTGTCGTGCACCCTCCTTGGTTGTTTCGACTCTTGTACAGTTGTACTGTCCTCAGGTGCTTTGCTGAAAATGGTGAATTTGTCCAGTAATGGTTTTTATGGGCAGATGAACACGGCATTTCCTTGATCATTTTAGAACAACCTTCCATATAACCAATGGGCTGGCCAGATCTTCTGTGGTTATTTTATTTCCTCGAATATGAACTGCTTATCGTTTTCATTAAGGCCTTGTTTAGTTGTTAAAACAAAAACTTTTCAACCATCACATCGAATGTTTGGACACATGCATGGAGTATTAAATATGGACGAAAAAAAACCAATTACACAATTTGTGTGTAAATTGCGAGACGAATCTTTTAAGCCTAATTGCGCAATGATTTGACAATGTGGTGCTACAGTAAACATTTGCTAATGATGGATTAGTTAGGCTTAATAAATTCGTCTCACAGTTTCTAGGCGGAATCTGTAATTTGTTTTGTTGTTAGACTACGTTTAATACTTCAAATGTGTGTCCGTATATCCAATGTGACAACCAAACCCAAAAATTTTCCCCAACTAAACAAGGCCTAAGAAGGAGAGAAAACTATTGACAAGATCTTCTGTGGTTCTGATGATTTGGTACAAGCTATAATTGAGATCTTGCTCAAATAAAACACAGGCCCTCTAATTAATATGACAGATAGGCAATTGTGCACATGACTAGAGCGATTGTAGTTGGTCAGGTTGTCAGAACAGGGCCTTTTGGTTTGAAGGCTAAACACTGCGGTCATTTATTGCTCACATGTTTCTTTGGTTGGAAGTTGATTGCCAATAGCCCCAGCTATTTCCTTGTACTGTTACAAGTGGCTCCAGTTGTAATTGTTAAAAAAGAGTGAATTAATTGATTTATGCCTTCAGGTTGAAGAGGATTTACATATTTGTCTCCGGTTAAAACCTAAAATTACAACTGGTAGCATCCCCATGTCTTGGATTTCAGCCTATCAATTTGATGGTAGTCAACTATGGATGAGCTCTCTAGTTCCTGTAATTAGTGATAGCCTTACTGCGAGCATATTTCTTTACCTTTCTTAATCTTCTTTATTTGCTTTCTCGGGGAATTCATGTACTTCCACTACTACCGTTCATAGAAAAGTCCATGCCATGTTTTTTTTAAAATAAAAACTCGTGCTGGACAAACTTTCTCTTCAATTTATTGACCATCTACTTCACTCTTCTTTCTTCATGTGAAGTGCGTTTTTTTCTCATGCAGATCTGCTTTATGCATTTTCTTCTGTACCAAGGGACCTCAACTTTATTGATCACACAAGTGATCTTGGATGGAAAGAGTGAGTTCTTTTAGTAGCATATTCTAGAATTTTCCTTAATCAATAGTCTATTTTTTAAAGATAATGGAAGCTTTATTGAACTCAGGCAATTACGTCAAGGTTATACCGTTATTCCATAGTCTATATGTTTTGTTTCTTAGAGGTTTGACTTATATAGTTTTCTATTCTTCCTCGCAGGCATGAAAGATTTGAAAAGCTGATTGTTGACCCAAGTTTATATATGGACAGAAACAGTGAGATCCTTCCTGCAACAGAACCAAGACAAATGCCTGATGCATTCAAGATATTCACAGGTGCTTGCTGGAACTGTCTCTCGAATATTCAAAAGATCCTGATTGTAGAATTTTTAGTGATCTATTAGCTTCAATTGAATCCCACTTGCCAATAATCCAACAGCTAGGTGGCCATGTGCTATTTTCAAATTTTTCTTAGGGACGAAATTATCATCTAGTCAATTCAATTTTTCTTTATGATGGAAGCAATCAAAGTTGATGTCCTCTCTCACTGGAGTAAGAGATTCAGAATATGAAATATGAAGTTGTTTTTTTATATTAGTAAACTACAAATTTCTGTTGAGAACACAGTCTGTTCTAAAACATGAAAGGAGGACAAACAATGATGATGGTAAATTTTGTCAATAACTCAATATGATGATAGAAGCTGGTAGTTGTAGCTGTTCTGTTCATGTGCCAATTGCTCATGGTGTCAGGGAACAATTAATTCACTTTAGGGTTCCTTTCCATCCTTTTCCATTTGGATCATGGTAGATTAGCTTAGAAATTGTTTCATACATGACTATTTCAATTAATTAATCCTAGATACTTTCTCAAAATCTAGCAAGGAATCGAGCCTTGTCTAGGTGATTGATATGGTACGACAGTAAGCGTACGAATTAGTATATCTGTTAAATTATGAGAAAAAAAATGGCAATTAATTTAGTAGTTCCTAACTATTAGCCCTGCCTCACGATTTTCTACTCAGGCTCACATATGATATTTCTGGTTTATTTCTGTTATGTAGGTTCTCCATGGGTAATTCTAAGTAGGAACTTCACCGAACACTGTGTTCATGGTTGGGATAACCTTCCCCGCAAACTACTGATGTACTTCGCCAACACAGCTTACTCCATGGAATCTTACTTCCAGACTGTTATTTGCAATTCTTCCAAGTTCAGAAACACAACTGTCAACGGGGACCTACGATACTTTGTGTGGGATGATCCTCCAGGGCTTGAGCCACTTGTACTTGATGAATCACATTTTGATGACATGGTAAACAGTAGTGCAGCCTTCGCAAGGCGGTTCGTGGATGATTCTCCGGTCCTGAAGAAGATTGACAAGGAGATACTAAACCGTTCTTCGGCCGTCTGTGCAAGCTTCAGCAGAAGACGGGGGATGGATGTGGACTCGTGCTCAAAATGGGGTGACGTTAATGTTCTTCAACCAGCACGTGCTGGAGAGCAGCTTAGGCGCTTCATTTCTGAGATCAGTCAGACAAGAGGATGCAGCTAGCTAAAAGCTGAATCTGGAGGTTTTCATCAAGAAGATTGACTAGCTGACCAATGGTTACAAGGAACATATTTTTTTTCTGCTGATGAACTACATGTTGGAAATGGCGAAGGCTGAGTAAGCACCTGACTGAAAACCTGGAAGGTTGAGATTGCCATCAATTTACTGGCAGATAGCGTACAAATTTGGTAAGTGCCTCTTGTATACATGTGAGATACTGAGATATAAACTGTAGCAATAGATGCTTTGCCTCTGTTTCGATCATGTAGATAGATCATATTGTAGGTTACAGTGCATTTTCAGTTTCAGGAGCTAGTTACATCACATTTTGTATAGAGAATATCTGTGACAGAAGTATATACATAAACTATACCGATACCAATAATTTATAGTTCTATATCGTCAGGGTGACGTTGCCTGAAAAAATGTAGGCACTATTCATGTTTTGAAGCTGAGTTTCAGATCTTCAGGCTTGTTGGTTAATCATCTTATTTCAGGCCCTGTTTTCCGATTCTGGATTTTGAAGACGGTGCATTTGTGCAATGATTTTGTATGAGAAAATTATTTATGTTGTCACTGACCACCAGTATTATTCAATTAACCGATAAGGTATTTGAGTCAAGTTGACTTATATGTCATTTTGTTAAATGCAGCTTGTTTTATATATGTGCATAGGAATGACGAGGGTCGATCAAATTATATCGTTTCCCTTGTTTGGAAAAAAAATGAATCATTTATTAATTAATTAAAAAAAATCCTCTAAGGGATTTTCTCTCTATAAAATTTTCTTGAAATACTTTTCCAAAGCAACTTTTTAAACTTTAAACCGACCACTCGTTTATATCTTCAAATAGCTATCACAGAAATTAGAAATTAGATAATCCATCAATTTTAACCATGAACCATATGGATGTACTCTGTTAGGGCCTTCGTTGTAATGCGTGGATGAGCCCGAACGCAACAGCTCCTTTGAATAGTAGTAGGAATTTTACAGGATTTTTATAGAAATTAGTTCAAGAATTTGCTTAGAAGATAAGTTCAGTTTATGTAAAGTTTCATTAAAAATCGTCAGTTCCTAAGACGGTCTGAGTGTATTCTTTGTTGCAGTAACAAATAGCCATTTTCTAATGTGCTTTTTACCACAGTAAATATTTTTTCAAGAAAGAAAACACCATTTACCAACAGTTGACTCTTCAAGCCAAAATTTCTACAGGGCACATTACTTCGTGGTTTTGTCATAATCATACCTGAAAAATAGGGACTACCCATACATTTGTCGATAAATTTTCTAAAAATTTTTTGTTAAATGTAAATACAATATAATTATACTATAATTACACTGTAAGCGTCGATGAAGGCGCGCAGCATGCGAGCGAAGAGGAAGGCGAGCCATCGCGGACGAACAGGGAGCAGTCGCAAGAAGCGCTTCCTAAAAACGTTATTGCTGCCTTCTCCTGGTGTAGGACGTCGAAGGCAGAGGTTCCGGAGACTTGCTCTCCCGATCGCCGGTGCACGCCGGCGAGCGGGATGGAGTAGTCTACGAGCGACGGCGCAGCACAGAGTAGGAGGCAAATCCTAGATTGATTTTGCATGTGTTGCGTGAAGGCGGCGGCTCGGTTTATATAGAGATAGGTCGCTTGATCAGGGTGCTCGCACGATCTCCACTCCGTGTAACTGAATCGGATAAGTCGCGCGTAACTTATCCGGACTCCACGCCGTTTTCACGCACCAGATTTTTCGGAATGTTTCCAAAATAAAACAAATCCGAATTTCCCGTAGCAAAACAAAACTGCAAAAATTACAATATAATTACAGACGGTCTAGTACCAGATAAGACTTTGAGTGAAACTTGCTTGCACAAGACTTGCAATTCAAGGTGTAGTCCATTGTTCAAGTTGTGAGTAAGTGTGGCTTGGAGTTTTAGGTGGATGCTCAACCTTAATCGGTCTCCATCGAACCACTGGTATATAAACAGTACATTGGAAAAAGACAAATCTCAGTGGGGTTTTGAGATTTGGTGGGGGGTTGTTGGAATTAATAGATGGGCTAAGGCCCATTCGAAGATTAATTCTTTGGAAAATCACAAAAGCCCACCTCATGGGATGGCATGCATGAGGAGTTTAGTACCACCTTGCTTATTTTAAGAGAGGGGGATCTCCTTAAAAGGGAGGATGTCCTCCTAGCCACTTGAAGCATGTGTGGTGGAGAGAAGAGGGGGAACACATGCTCGCGCGCCTGGCCTGGCAGGGACCTGCCAGGCGGCGCGCGTGCATGAGGTACGTGTCGAATGGTCCGCAAAATTGGCTCCTCACCCTTGCGCAGATGCAACCTCCTTTTGCAGTTTTGTTTTGCTGCGGGAAATTCGGATTTATTTTGTTTTGGAAACATTCCGAAAAATCTGGTGCGTGAAAACGGCGTGAAGTCCGGATAAGTTACACGCGACTTATCCGGTTCGGTTACGCGGAGTGGAGATCGTGCGGGCGCCTTGATCAAGCGACCTATCTCTATATAAACCGAGCCGCTGCCTTCACGCAACACACGCGAAATCAATCTAGGGTTTGCCTCCTACTCTATGCTGCGCCGTCGCTCGTGGACTACTCCATCCCGCTCGCCGGCGTGCACCGGCGATCAGGAGAGCATGTCTCCGGAACCTCTGCCTTCGATGTCCTGCACCGGGAGAAGGCGACAATACGGTTTTTGGAAGCGCTTCGCGCGACTGCTCCCTGTTCGTCCGCGATGGCTCGCCTTCCTCTCCGTTCACGTGCTGCGCGCCTTCATCGACACCCGTAACCGCGAGTAGTTCCTGCCGAGCAACCGGTCTTTCCGAGCTCGCGTTTGAACAGAAGAAAAATCTAGCCATGTGTGCACGTGGGCTCCCATTTATTGCCCAAGGAGTTCTCATGAGCGGCAATTTTGGGCCCTTCCGAATGGGCCAACATTCACTGACTACTTCTCTTTGGGCCCAAACTCCATTGTATGATCTAGCATATCAGCCCAGGACAAAAAATATGTGGCTTTCGTAGATTGTTTTGATCTGTTTGAATGAAATGAGCGGCCCCATCTTTTTTTTATACATATGCTATCTGAACAACTTATTATCAAAAAAAAATTATAGGTACAATTTTTAGATACATGTTCTTAGCAACTCAAAAACAAATGCTGAAAAATCCAAAAAAAATTCACTTGTTTCAGTCTCTTAGAACATATGTTAGGAGGCGCATTCGCGAGATGCAAGTGCTGTGTTTCGTGTGTAGTGGTGTATGCGTGTATGCATCTGTGTGTAATCACAAAAATCAAGTTCAAAATTTCAAATTTTGTACTCCCTCCATTTTAAAATGTTTGACACCGTTAACTTTTTAGCACATGTTTGACCGTTCGTCTTATTCAAAAAAATTTGTGAAATATGTAAAACTATACGTGTACATGAAAGCATATTTAACAATGAGTCAAATGATATGAAAAGAATAAATAATTACTTAAAATTTTTAAATAAGACGAATGGTCAAACACATATTAAAAAGTGAACGGTGTCAAACATTTTAAAACGGAGGGAGTATAAGAATAAGCACAAGTGAAATAATGTGAGGATCAATAATTAAGTGGATGCACTAGAGTCAAACTAAAATTACTTTTGTAGCTCTAATATAAGTATTGATACGTAAGATGAAAATTAATTTTGTAATCCCTAGTTGCAATGTGAACCATGGGACATGTGGGTCCGGGATATAAAGCACAGTAAGAATCATGCTTATCTACTTCTTGCTAATGCATGGTATAACATGCGTACCATGTGGGACGATCAGTTGGTACTTGGTAAGTACAAGTATGCAGTATTTCTTTTCTCTAGGTTCAGGGAAAAAAAAATCTTCTTTCTCAAAACGAGTGTCGATGTCGATGTTTCAACCTTGGACAGTACTAGGAATACAATAGTTGTATGTTCTAGAACGTAATTAGAAGAACGCAACAAGTAATTTGCAGCTGGAAATATTTTTTACAGCCCTTAAACTTTCATCTGAAAAAATGGGAAAGTATTCAACTCTAAATAAACCATATGTTTTGAGAATTACAAATTATTCTACTTTATCTAAATTTATCTAGGTACAAAATAATTAGGCTACAAATCAGGATTTTTTTTCTCAGATTTGTCATTTAGTTTGCTCTTTGAATATGTCATCTCTCAAGCATACAATAAGGTTAAATGATGGTTTTAGTTTTTCGGCACCGTTTAAGGTTTCAATAGTTGGAGCTTGAATATTCTTTTAATATTCCTCGAAACTTCGAGATTGTAAAATAGATCTTTTCTTTTGCCGTCATTAGATATATCCGTAAATTTTCATGATATATTAATTAAATGTTGTTTTAAATGATTTGGCACGGCAAGGGACACTAGCTTATTGAATTGGTGTATATTTTTTTAAAGAAAAACAGCAGGGGAGGTCCCCGCTGTTAAAAGAGCTTTATTAATGAAAGAAAAAAAAGATTGCAAAAATCTAATCCAGTTAAGAATTACATCTTTGTCTTGTTGTGGCCAGACATACGTGCCGCCTTTATGTCTTGTGGGGACATTTAATAGAAATTCAATAATTCACCCATTGCACATATGTTGTATTGTTTTTGGGCGTTTGAATATACCTTGGATCTAGGAGAATTGAATCGGCCGGGTTCAATTAGTTCATGAGTAGTTTGAATAAATTCTGGAAGTACATTGGTTTCTTTAATTACTTGGGCATGTGTTGGATTTAGCTGGAGTCACTGTTACACATTAGTTTCTTTTTTCTAGAAGGGTGGGAGGGGTTAGAGATGCAGATGACCGATGAGAGCGAAATGCATCAATTAAAAAAATCGTTTTTCTAGAGATTCCCCCCTCGAAGTCTATGTGGTGAGAGAAGTTCTATAAACAAAATTGTAGTAATATGTGGTGTTCTTTAATATAAGATAAAAGATGAAGTTAGGTCACACAGAACAAATAAGCTATTAACCTACGATTAATTAAGTTTTAATTATTATAATCTTGAAAATGTATTTATTTGATATTTTCAAGCTCCTTTTGTATAGAATGTTTTCGTACAAAGCACACCATTTAACAGTTTGAAAAACGTGCTAACAAAAATCAAGATAAATTCTATATCTAATCAGACAAGAACACCACCTAAATAAAGTCGCAGATAAAAAAATATATATTTGAGGATTGTTCTTTTTTTTCCCTAGAATGGGAGAGGCACTAAATTAATCTGTACTTAATAAAAAAAAGCAACATAGACACCAAAAGAAATTATGTACTTTTTGTTTACACAGAGATGGAATACTTTGCATTCCTAATAAGGATTTTTCTCTCAAACAATTGTAGTCCCAGGCATGAAAGCTACGGTGCTGATGTAATTGTGTTCAGACAACAAAAACCACCCTGTTTTGCTCCACTAGTTCTTGTTTCTTTAATAATTTCCACAGATGCACTAATTTGTGGGGGCCGAGGTATTTATTTTGGGCAGAG